ATGATGATGATACATGATGATACATGATGAGTAACATGGTGGTTGTGTAGGCAACAGTTATATTCGTTACCTGCATGGCATCAAAAGATTTATTCCCAGACACTTGAAATCTCTTCATGAGGATCTGAAACAAGAACGACAGCTGCTTACTACCAATACCTACGAACAGTAGAACAATGCAATGACATCCAACGCATCATTACCCTGCGAGCTAAGATTATTTTTCTTCCCCACGTAGGGCCAAAATCAGAAAGGGGGGAGGGGCAGGAAGCAGAAAGACCTCCGCAAGCAGGGTAAAGCATCATTATTACATCTACACTCGTTCAACTCCATTCTAAAACTCATTTGTACCTGCTGTTCTACATGGTAGATGCAGACAAATTTTGAACGTCCTCCAGCAAGAACACACTGCCCGTCAGCTGAGTAGCAAAGACTTGAAAAACACCTGAGAAAATGAAAAACTCAATGTCATCTGACTAGATTAGCTTCTGCTACTTTTAGATGATATGTACGATCTTTTTGTTTGAATTCTTCCTAAATCTAATAATTTATGGTTGTATTATTTATTTTGTACGAATTAAGTTATTTGTTGTTGTTTTGTTGCATGGCTATTTGGAACAATTAATAAACAAATGTGATTGGCTGAGGTCAGTATGATTTTCCTCTCTCCTGGTTGGTTAAAGCTTTCATTCCATCGTGTTTGGTTAAATCTATAAGAATGGATTCAGTTAGGATGTCCACACTGCAAAATGTTAACATACTTTCCAAAAGACGAAGACTTTGCTGTTATCATGTCCTGTGCTCGTCTACCTCCCCCGAGGTCTCGATGCCCATCAACAGACTTGACTTGAACGGCTGATACGATGTCCCAGAAGGTAAGCGTCCCGTCCAGGGTAGACACTGCTACCTCTTTGCCATCTGGTCGAATTGCGATAGTCACAACTGCCGAAAAAGAACAAGATTTGATCTTAAAAATTGTGAACATGAATTTGGTTGGGTAACGTACAGAAATAAGAATGGACCTGAATTAGATTGGATGAACGTATAGGGAATAATGACAACCCACTATGGACAACATTCATCTTACCATCTGATGTGAGGTCAAGCGTCTCTCGACTTATTTTACTCTCAAACACGTTCCAGACTTTCACAGTCTTGTCCCAGGACCCTGATACCAAAAATGGCTGAGTGGGATTGAAAGCTAGTCCAGACACGGGTGCCTCATGGCCAGCAAGAACCTTAAAACAATTGATATCAATGTTGATGAGGAAGGTAGTAATGAAACAAGTACTTGCAAATCAGGAGTGTTTGGTTGTTTATTAAATGTAGGTGTATATTTTGATAACACGCTTTGTCATTTCTGGTCATTTTGTTTGTTTATAATAAACTCTACAAAATTACTCGATTCTGATTGGACAAGACGAGTACAATTAAATCCCAAATTGTACTCTGTAAAGTCCAAATTAAGTTGCTCTATTTTGTTGAGTGTATTATAAACAAAAAATCGCACAATCTTCTCGTACGATTCGGAATTTATAGATACTCGTGATGTTTTGAAAGTACCCAAATTGGACTCTCTTAATGGCTCATCCAATTTTGGAAACTTTCAAAACATCGCTCGTACCCGTAAATTCCGAATTGTACTCGAGATCGAGCGATTTCCTATACAAAGAATTGTACTGAGTGCCAGCCCCCTTATCGTCCCTGTCACTGCACTTGTCCTTGGAATATCTTCATAATAAAATAAAATAAAATAAAATAAAATAAAATAAAATAAAATAAAATAAAATAAATCACTTTATTTAAGTGTCTTGTCGTTCTAGCGCATT